AACGGAGAGGACTAAGAGACGTACTGTCTCCACTGTTCGACGCCAAGACAAGACGGGTCAGTGATGTGGCTCGCCGGAAAGACAACCGGTGAATGTCAAGAATTACGATTTCGGTTTTGCTGGGCCACCAACGTCCAGTCAGCCGTCAAAGAGCACTACTGGATAGCATTAACTATACAGAGCGCTACCAAGAGTTACTAACATCAATATTTACACTTTACTACACTATATATACAGTAGCCAGAAATTTGGCGTCAACAATCATGCTGACTGTCTTTCACTTTCCTACGCCTTTGTCTACAGCATATTAATAACGAGTGGCGGCTGAGTTGACAAGTATAGCGCACAAATTTATATCATTACATTTCGAAATCAGAATGGAACCGTATAGCACAGGCTGCCTAGAATCTTTCAAAAAGGCAGTTCAATACTGTTTACCATACTGTCCCAGTTTGCAGCAAGCAACTGTCCTCACTAACATATGCCATCTCAGGTAGGCCTCTAGGCAGAACATGTTTCGGACTTTTGGCGCAAATTAATTAACTTTGAATTAGAGATAAATGTACTTGTGACACCATCTGATGCAGTGATTTATACCTTACCTAGAGAATAATTCAGCGTACAGCTATCGGCCCTGGCCAAACTTAAAGCCAGTCAATGTTCAAACCAGAAAATGCCATCTGAAACGACGGCTGCATTAGATGGACCAGAACTAATGCTTATTCTGGAAGAAGAGTTTGTAGATCAGGTCCAAGGGATCTAGGAAAGTTCACCGACTGCAATTCACCGACGGAAAATTCACCGACTGGAAAATTCACCGAACCGACAATTCACTGACTGGAAAATTCACCTATCAGCAATTCGTCGAACGGAAAATTCATCGACTCCACAACTGATCACCGATGGTTTATTTATTAAAAACCATGAAACGTAAAAAACTTTACTTCATATCATAAAGTATTGCTGATTTTGAATTAATTTGCCTGAAATTGATAATGATGCCTGTAAATTTCGAATAAAACAGATTTCACTTGAATAATTGAAAAAAACTTCTGAAACATTATTTACACGCAATACCTAATTAGTAATTTATATTATGTGCCACGCCCTCTCAAAAACTCTAAAACATTACTTCTGTCATAATTCGCAATTACTCTGAAAAGTCTCAGCAGATAATTGCATTTTAAATCCATGATGCCACCCTTCACTTCCATTATTTGTGTTCGGAAGACGGTGTCTTACTCCTTCGTGACAGTTCCACATTTCCAGGGAGAAGTAGGGCATTCGATGTCCCATGTGTCGTTGAGGACGTCCAATCCAGCAGTCCTCAAAGTAATCAATCAACTGTTGTGCTTCTTCAGACATGTTATTACAGCTACCGCTAAGAAGCTAAAATGCTTCTACCACATGCTCTATTTGGAAAGGACCAACGCAGACAACAGTGG